CAGGGCTTTTTTGGTGGTCATTTCACTGCCTCAAGTCCAACAGCGTCAAGATACTGGGTGACTGTTCTTGCAGCAAGTGCACGAGCATTATCATGCATCAGCACGAAACTGTCATGACCAATGAATCCGCCGTAAGGTAAAACATGCTCTTCAAGAATGTTGCGTTTGTACCAGTCAGCATTCATTCTTAAATTCACCTCAATAAGCTCGGTGCGACTGTCCCAACTGATGCCGCCCCACAACATAATGGAACCACCACCAAAGCTATCGTTATTGGTCATCTTTTGGTATTGTAAATCTCTTACGTCCTTGACTAAGCAGCCTTTTGTACTCCCCAGTCTCATTGTATCGCTTTACAATACGAGAAATAGTCGATTGATGGATATGCAATATTCGCTTAACATTCTCTTGTCTGCTTAAATGCGGCATCTCACTAAGAAACCTACAGAATCAATACATAAAGTACTCGAAATGTCATTTTGACAACAATAAACAAAACAATAGACATTAATAGTGGCAAAGGCCCACTATTCAAAGTCTGTAATCTGTGAGTGGCGGGGGATCACTGTCTCTCTCTTATGGGTGTTTTACAGTCCCCCGGTGCAGACCACACGGCACTCACCCAGTAAAGTTATCGGTCAACCACCCAATCCCGCATCTGCGGGCAACAGGCGTCGGCCGATTTCAAGCTAGATGTGTGGAAGAGGTGTCTCGCAAGATCCCTCGGCGGTTACTCATCCAACGCTGGAAAGGTAGCTTTCCTAACATGAGTGCCCCTTGGGGTAACGTAAGGGTATGCCGTGCAAACCACACGGCGTACACCCAAAAGTTGTTGATGAACCGCCCTATCCCGCACCTATACGGGTAATGGGCGCGACATCTTTGACATATGATGTGTGGTAGAGGATGCTCGTGAGAGTCCTCGACGGTTACTCATCAAACGTTGGAAAGGGAACTTTCCTAACATGAGTTCTAGGGGGGAGGTGAGTGCCCGCTCGCGGCTGGAGGCTAGTGAGCCTCATCTCCAACTGGCGTTGGCCTCTTAGGGGCAGCGGCTCCGCTAGCGGGTAAAGGGATACAGGG